GGCATAGATTCAGAAGATTATCATATATTCTTGTAATAAGTGAGATCAAACTACATGTCACATGTATACTGATAAGAAAAGTCCCAAATCCTAGATTAACTTTTCTTACTAGTTTCATGTAGATATTAAATAATATTGAAGAAATGAATAATATGAAGGAAAAAAATACACTGATGTAAATTACTGATAAAATAGTTGTCTCACTTACAAACTCAGCTCTGAAACCAGACTTAAGTAAATCTAGATAATTTGTTCTTTTGGAGGAATCCTGGAAATTAATTCTGTATGACCAACTGAGCTAATTTTGGTTGGCAGTAGGCATACCCTATTAAGAGAAGTGCAGTGCTAATAGATATGCACACTAATACACATTCTCATACAAATACAATAATTGCTTCATTATTCGAAATGTGCATGTGACTCTATTTTCTCTCTCTCTGCAATTATTTTACTGATTTTATTTATTTTTATTAACATCTTATTGCTGAGCGTTTTTGTACTATTATTATTCATCACGGAATAATTTTTAAAAGAACAAAATAAAGTATAAGTATGGATCAGAAATGCAACCCATTAATGTAGCAGGATATTTCTATTTTTTAAAAAGTTTCTAAAATAAACTTTCTGACATAACAATTGGGGAATTTAAAACAATTATTGCAAAATCAAATATTTAGAATTTCTGAGAATGACATTATTACAGAGATTATCTGACCACTTTGTTAAGAATATTGTACATGCAATTTTAGCAGTTTTTGTTGCTCTTCTAATTGATTAACAGAATTGAGAAAAGAATGTGAGACATAGGGTTGCACAGGCCAGTGGACTAAAATAGAAATCAGTAAGAACTTTGTTTCAGAAGAGACTATCAAACAAAATGTTGTGATGAAAGACAAAGAATAAGTATAATGAGGTTATGAGATATACAGAGGATGTTGGTTTAGCACATATTTACTGACTCAGCATATCCACTCAAATTCATATTGTGTATTGTGCAAATAGATTCTACCATATTACACAGAAAAGCACGTACAGTTTTAGCTAACATCACTCAAGATTGTCAATACAGTTTTCCTTAGTCAAACAATATTGTATTGTACTTTGCAGGCAACCAATACAATTACATTATTTAAAGTATTTGCATTCTTTAGCAAAAGTCTACCATGCATTCAGTATGTTACAAAAATTGCACAATTCACTTTCATCTTTAAATGAATTTAGTTATATTACAGTATCTGAATGTATCTTAAGGTTTTATACTAATACCATTTTGAAAGGGAAATAGCTATGATTCATGTTTAATGGTAATTTCTATTCTGTATGTATATGCCCTAATATTTTCCATTAACTTCCAATATAAAATATTGGTGAGAATTTTTTTTGCAAAACTGGATATCTCTATTTCCTCATTTAAAATAGTATTATACAAGGAAATGCAGACATTAATTTGTTGTTGTTGTTGTTGTTGTTGCAAAGTCATGTCTGACCCATCGCGACCACATGGACAATGTTCCTCCAGGCCTTCCTGTCCTCTACCATCCTCTGGAGTCCATTTAAGCTCACGCCTACTGATGGTTCAGGGACTCCATCCAGCCACCTCATTCTCTGTCGTCCCCTTCTTCTTTTGCCCTCAATCTTTCCCAGCATTAGGTTCTTCTCCAGTGAGTCCTTCCTTCTCATTAGGTGGCCAAAGTATTTGAACAGACATCAATAGAAACCCCAATTTTGCAGAAAAATTTCTCACTTTCACTGCTCTATTTGGCTAATTTATGCATACAATTAATTTTCTTTTCTTAAAATAAAAAGTTTAAAAAGCAATAGATAATGATAATACATTTGAGAACAAGATTTTTCCTTCTTTGTGTTATTAATCTTGTAATAAATTAATATACAACAAAATTGTGGTAACTATTTTTATGATAGGAAGAGGCTGTATCCTTTTAATTATTTTTTTCTAATGTCAATGATCCCAAAGATCATAGCAATAATTCAATGTGATTATTTGGGGGGGGAAAAGACTAAAATGTTGAGCCACTTTTCTATATTTTTGCAAGATTTGGGAAATATTAAAAAATTTAGCAATGCTATTTTCTTTTCTTTTAAATAGAAAAATGACACTACCATAATTTGCCATTTGGCCACTGAATGTTAGAGCTATAATTTGTAAGTAGGGATCCACAAAATAGGACTGCATGTCACTTACAGCTTTTTCTCCCCTTCCTAGGACATTCAGGTCAATAGTTCAACAAAAAATGGAACCGGAGATTTCATGAGCTTTTCAAAATAGCTCTTTCACTATAAAATGTATCTGGTTTAATCATACCAACACTCGACAGTCACCAAGTCTCAACAAAATGAAACTTTCTAGTCAGTGATAAATTTTTCCCTCTCAACATACATATATATATATATATTTTAAATTTGATTTATATGCCGCCCTTCTCCGAAGACTCAGGGCGGCTTACAATGTGCTCAGCAATATTTATCTAACTTACAGAACGACTCATGTCACAAGCAAGTGACTCTGGGCAGAGCATTCCCTTCTCTCTTCCTTAATAGTTTTCGGGACAGTACAGTACTGTGTGTGTTGGTGTGAGTGTGTATGTACATGCACACATGTGTGGACGGACAGTCCTTGCTGACTAACCATTTGTTCAGCAACCATTCGAACTTGTGGCCATTGCAGTGCTCCCATGTTACATCATCACAACCAGCATGCCAAGCCAAGAACATAACAGAACAATACAGTTGGAAGGGACCTTGGAGGTCTTCTAGTCCAACACCCTGCTCAAGAGAAAACCCTATACCATTTCAAAGAAATGGTTGTCCAATCTCTTCTTTAAAAACTCCAGTGATGGAGCGCCTACAACTTCTAAAGGCAAATTGTTTCACTGATTAATTGTTCTAACTGTCAGGAAATTTCTCCTTAGTTCTAGGTTGGTTCTCTCCTTGATTAGTTTCCATCCATTCCTTCTTGTCCTGCCCTCAGGAGCTTTAGAGACTCGGTTGATCCCCTCTTCTTTGTGGCAGCACCTTAAATATTGGAATACTGCAATTATGTCACCCCTAGTTCTTCTTTTCATTGAAGTAGGCATACCCAATTCCTGCAACCGTTCTTTATATGCTGTAGCATCCAGTTCCCTAATCATCTAGACTCAGAGTCTCCATGTTTCTAGGTCAGCACCTTTACCAACACACCAAGTTATTAATATCAGGATTTTTTAAAATGTGTTCTGAGGAACTCTAGGATTTATGAGAATGTGTTCGGGTTTTATGTAAAACAGAGGGTTTAAAAAAAGAGGTTCACTCAAACACAGTCATTTTTCTATCACTAGAGTTTTGCCTTTTAATCAGAGGGTCCAGGAATTTATTAACTAACAAGGTTGTAGTTTTAAAGTTTGAAAACCATTTATTTCTATGATAAAATCTAGAAGATAAAATACAGTATATTTATTTCAACACTTTTATCTTTTTTACGCAAGTTGGAATAATTTATCCCATTTAGTTTACAATATACAAAATAAAACAATAAGGGGAGTAATAATTATTTGGCTAACCCTGATATATTCAGATTAAATATTTTTTTCACAATTAGATTTGGTTATTAATTTTGGTTAAGCTAATAAAATTTAATTATATTTAATATCACTCCATGTAATGTACTAATTTAAATTTATCATTCACTGAGAATGCAATTGAAGAATAGAATTAGGATTCGGTTGCAAATGAGGCAAAGATAAGATTATTACTTATCACTTGAAATGTTGCAAGAGCAGGCATTTTATTTTTATTATTTTAAGCTATCATTATGTTATCAAATAGTTATTAATAGTCTTCTGGATCATCTCCAAATAAGATAATGGAAGATCATGTTTGACAGGCATTATTCATGTTGCAGTGCAATTACAGTCTAGATATCATGGTTACACCTATATTTTAATTTATTGTTGTGAGAGAGAGAGAGAGGGAGGGAGGGAGGGAGGAGGGAGGGAGGGAGGGAGAGAGATGATAGGAAATCACAAAAACATCCATCTATATAGTCTTAAATACGTTTTGCTTAATGAATTCATTTAAGAATACTACTTAAAAATATTAGATTAGAAAAAGGATGGGAGACATATTTTATTGAACAATATATAGATATCTATTCAACCCTTTTAATACATATGCACCACTTACAATATTTAAAGTCAGTACATATTGATTGATGCAAGAGTACCATTATATAAAAAATATATGTACTGTGACAACGTTGTTGGAGAATGTCCAAAATTCTACAAACTCATTCTAGATCCTTTTCTTCATATTTCATCAATCAATAAAAATGTATTTATTCAAGACTCTGTAACGGCTAACAAATACAAGAATATCATTTTGCAAAAGCAACACAAGAAACCATGACAAAATGCAGAAACACTGTGCATTTAAAGAGATTTCCAAGTGGACTAAATTATCCAGGTCAGCCGCTAAACAGACTCTATCTCTAAACATGGCTTCAGCTACAATTGGAGGCTACATACACTGAAGGCTGATAATTTTTCTCTGAACTAAAATTGTTATACAATTTTTAATAACATGTGAAATTAAATCTAGGATATGGAAACAATTTCTCTGGTTTTAGAAATATTTCTGGTTTTATTATATTTTTATTGGTTTTAGAGTTCTTTCTCAACACATTCTTTATTCTAATACTTAATTATTTCAGAACGTAGTGTGGAATATGATGCACCAAATAGAAGTTTAGACCAAAAAGAAGGTAAATTCAAGCTTAGATCCAGGCTCAGCTATGAAAACCTACTGAATAATTTCAGATCAATCACCTCCTTCAGTTCTATCTACATCATTAGATTAAACTACATTTGTTGTTGAGGGGGGAAACTGAAGAAAAGAATATTATGTTGGCTATCTTGAGTTCCCAGGTGACAGATGGAATAGAAATCAATTGAAATACATAAAATAGAGCAAAACAAACATTTAAATTGGATAACCAAAGCACTGACCTGTACAGGCTCAGGAGTAAGTTGGACAACATGCTGCATACGTTCGCTGTGATGATGCCGAGATTCTTCTTCATAGATGAGATCCCTCTCATGTTGGGGAAGATTCAGGAATCGCCGAATGGTGCACAGATTTTCCCAAAGTGTTCGATTTTCGGGGCTTGGGTTTTCTTTCCAACGTAACAACTCACACAGCCAACCCTGCAAAGAAAGTAAGTAAATAAATAAATATATCAGTGCACATGCATTGTTAAGCAGTAATATAGTAATTCAATAGTAGCTTTGACTGCTACTGAAAAACAGCTTTTTCCAGATCGTTTACTACAATGTATGTAACTAATTTTAGTATTCTGAGATGGGAGAAGGGGAACTCTCATAATTTTTACAGTAATTGTGAAAGCAAAGATACATGCTAATATAACAGAATTTGGAACCAAGGTAGGAAGACTTTGAACAATGGGAATGGGGGCAAAAAACCAGTATACCTTACTACTAATTACCAGGTACCATAGATCCTCCTTATTGTTAGGGCTGTTTTATTTATTTATTTTTTCTTCACATTCACAATAATGTATCTTCCTTTAATATTACAGTATATTAATGAGCTATCAACCTATGCCCACACTGGTACTAAGATATGTGTATGTATGTGTGTGTGAGTGTGTATAATCCTGACACTCTGGCAGATGAAGGTTCTCCATTGGGAAGAAAACTTCCCTTCAGCTTCAAAGTTCCTCCAGATCTATCCTTCCAGCCTCACTTACAAAATATCTTGCTTTTAAATTCCCTCCCCATTCTTAAATATGCAGTAAATTGGGAAGATGTACCTATTATCAGGCTTTGACTAATAGTTCTAATATCTAATCATGTTATCCAGACCTGCTAAAACCTGGGATAAAAATAGCTTAAATTAGTTAAAGAAATGTAACAACTTGGCAGGGCACAAGGATGAGACACAGAATTCAGCTAGCATTTTAGCAATAGCATAAAACAAACAAACATGGAACCCATACAAGCTCTATTTTCAAATATTTTAAAATACGATGTTGACTAATAATGTAATAAAAAGAAGGAATATAAAGGCTGTTTATTTGATCAAGGTTAAAATATATATGTTGTTATTTCTGATAACCCTTAATAGACTTTTTGCTGACCAGTACTGAACCAGGAGACATCAAGGATTTTTTTTAAGATAAGATTTGAGATATGGAAAGAAAGAGATAATTTGTTGTACTTTAAGAGAATGTGATAAATTACTAAAATTGTTTATACATTGTGATGAAGAGAGAAGTCACTTCTTCATATATTTCTTTTCTTTATCATAATCATAATCATAAGCTTATTTGTCAAGCATATATAAGATAACAGGTAAAAGTATAAACATAATTTGAATACATGAAAAGAGTAAGTAAAAAGGAATATTAGGCCAGGGACGGTAGGCACGCTGGTGCACTATATTTTTATATTTTTATTTCTTTTCTATTTTACTTCCTTTTTTCCTGTACTTTCTATTTCTTCCTTTTATTCTTTTAGTTCTTAAAAGTTTGTATTAGTTTTTTATATTTTTAAGTGTAATATTAACAACTGCATAATATCATGTGATGATTTGCCTAACTCTCCACTGCATCTTCTGCCTTTACCTCCCTCTCCAAAAAAAGAAGAAAGAAAAGCAAGATTTGATTATCTCCGCTGCATCAGCCAAGACAGCCATACCAGCTGTTCTCATTGTGCAGCCTCTTCCTCACGGCCTACATGTTAATAACCTGATCATTCCATTTTCTCCTTCAACTGCCGGCTGCAGCACAGTGAAGAGACAAAAAGCCAGGCCCATCTGCAGCAGCTGTAGGCACTGAACTGTGAAGCCACGGGGGATTTATAAACTAATCTGTAACACAACACTGCCTTGTTTTTACAAGTGAGAGGCCACAGTTGTGCAGACCTGATCTTTTCTTGCAATAAGCTAGGAGTGGTGGGAAATAAAAAGAAGATATCTAATCATTTACTTGGAATAAATATCTGCATTTACTATTCTGTATGGTACATGACTAACCACAGAATCAGGTGATGGTTGACTCCCATATTCTCTTCTCCTCACAGAAAATCCCATGTCTCTTTAATAATAAAGCAACAAGCAAACAGACCTTTAAAACTCTCAGCTCTAAAGTGTTTTCTCAGGGGTCCTTCTATACAAAGGATTCTTTTTTTTTGAAATGTAAAATAGAACATGGAAGGGGGGAGTACTTCTTCCTGCATTCTTTTTACTTTTTACTTGAATACATACAAACTATTTGAACAAGTATGGCTTCAACACATTCCCTTGGAAAACTGAGTCCTCAGACTTGGTTTCCGTTTTTGCTTTTTTTCATATTTTTACAAAGGCTAAGAAAAATCCTACAACGGCTCCAAGTCTATATTCTGAGTGATCTTGAGATCTTCTGGCCTGAGGTTGCTGTTGCCTTTTCAGAATGTTTAGCTTGAAAAGAGAGATGTGACAGATTACATCTCTCCTCTTCCTTATGATCTTGGAATGTTTCATGCAACACTCAGCTGTATTTGATTGATAACTACTCCTATAATCTGCACTCATTACCAGCACTTAGCTTGACACTACAGGTCTCATTATGGATGGTGTGCTCTCTGTCATTATACTTTAGGCAGCATCATGTTCAATTTGCCTGGCACCTTGCAAGGTCCTGACCATGAAACTATTAAGGAATGAACTAGACTGCCATGTGACCATGCATGCAAGACACGAGCAAACCAAATTAATTTCTGGCACAGGAAGTTAGCAGGCAAAGGTCCCATCCTTAGGACACCAGAAAATGACTTGATTCCCCAGTGGAAATACGCTAATGGCATATTTAGCAAAGCTTCATTCTGAAGGTGAAGCCCGTTCTTGTTATTTAGGGAAAGAGAAATCCAGTTTTCTCAGAAACTCTGTGCTTGACTGATCAGATTAAGGGATCTAGTCTTCTACAGCCTGGGCATGCATGTACACAAATCACAGCAGGACCCAAAAAATCAGTGATACTTCATAGCCTCAGACATATTGCACCATGTACACCCAGCTGCTACAATAATTAGCTTATGAATGTATCAGCTGGTTCTGCAATTTTTATAAATGATAACTAACCTACAGAGCAGAAAGATTTTCATAAGCCTAATATTAGCAAGAAATTGCTTAAACCCTCTTAACTCTAAATTGTTATTGTGCTAAATGCCCTCTTCATGCTTCCAATTTTATACCACTGTAGCACTCCCTCCCTAAATATTTATTTGGCATCAACAATGGCAATTCATTTATATCAACTTCTTTCAGAAAAAGCTATTATCTACCTTCTTTTTCACAAGCTATTAGGATATTTTTCTTCAACAAATCTATCTTTCACTTAAGCTCTTAACTTATTTATTCAAATAGTTTAACAACCACCCATTCAGGATCATATATTTATCAGCCAAAAAGGTTTCAAGTGCCAGGAGAGGCTACTATTGAAAACATATAATGGAACCACTAACCAAGACACACAATTCCATACCAAGAAATTATATCAAGAGGGAAGTTTAATGTGCACTGCAATGTTTTTTATTATTATTGAAATAATCTTACTGTGCTATCTGAGAAAGTTTTTCAGTATGTTGCAAAAAAAAAGTGTAAATGTCAAATAAAACAGTGACAGATGATGACAGTATTCTCTATTGAATAGCACCGTTGCTTCGTGCATGTTCGATGAGAACTCATGAATTATTAATAAATAAACTCCTTTTTATGTTTAAAAAAACCTCAAGTAGTTGTGTGATTTATTCAGGGAGGTTATAGCAAAGAGAAACTGAAAATTCCAAAACTGACTTCTGTTTAAAAAAATGATGATACTAAATTTTGCATAGATAAAAGTATTGAGATAAGACTGATACTAAAGACTACCAGGCTAATATCCATCCCCCCCAGCTCATATTATTTGTATTGGGAATAAAAGTAGATTAAAAACAAGCTAGAAATTGAAAAAGATGGCTGAAAGAATTTTTAAAAGTTCTTTAAAACCTGGTGCTACTTCACTGTACCAGAATTTTTCAGTAGTAAATAAAGGGAAGGAGTTACCCCATTCCTTTACTAATGTAAATTAAACTACTCCGGTCCAGGTTCAATCCCAGATTTTTAATTTTAAAATGGTGCAGGAAATTGTATGTAGAAATGAATCTCACTGAGCTCAGTAGAATTTCCTCATACACAATTGTGTCTACAATGGCATGTTGGTTCAAAACAGCAGCAATACAAAAGATACTGCCATGAGTGGGAAGAGGAGAATGTATCTTCTAAATCAAAATTTTAAAACTGAAATCTAAAAATCATTTAAAAAATTTTCAAGTCTGATTTCTGATTAATTTTGGTATCTTTTTTATATATATTATAGTTAATAAGTTAAATACTGAAGCTCTATTTTAAATCAGTATTGCTTCGTATATCCTGCTTGTATTCTGACCAGTAGTTGCAACAATAAATTGATTAAGATAGGATAGAAAATTCATGGAAAGAAAATGTTGTCCATGCAATCAGAAAATACGTTAGATTGGGTGTAGTAATCCTAATATCTACCAAATTCAATCAGTTTTAATCTAATGCACTGTATATACTGCCTGAAAGTTCTCGGTTAATAATGCTGATACCAGATTATCTATTAAAATAAAATTAAGCAAATAGTAAAATCTGTTTCTGTAACTTATGGAAACATTTCTATTTAAGAAGTACAGAAAATACATAAATAAAAGTCATGTTGCTTGTACAGTTACGAGCAAAAACTCAGCTTGTAATTTTTTTGTACACAATTTTGTCAATATCCCCAGAGAATCTCACTTTCTTATATTTAAAAACTTGGGCAATTAAGCTTTCCTGTCATATTTTATAAGAACTGTGACTCCTAATCAAATGTATCTGACAGTAAAATATAGCATTCATTTGTTAATCTTCCAATTTTCCTGCTTAATAAGCACAAGTACTCAAAACATGGTGGATTGGGAACCTCCTAGAAGTAAAGGAAGGCAGATGAGAAAAGAAATGAACATTATATATCATATTTTTTAACTATAAACTTTGTAATATTTAGGTCAGCAGTAGTCATTAAAAACTGAAGTCAAAATATTTAAGTTGTTACTGAAAGAGCTCATATGTTTAGAAGCTTCGCAAGATGTCCCATGTGAAGAGAATA